CAGAAGAATACAGGGACAAAATCAGAGAACTTCTAGACCCCATCACCTACAGAAAACTGAAACGGGACCCAACTAACAAAATCACAAAACAAACGAACATGCTGATCAGGAGTTCCTCCCTGTACCCCAACGTCCTCCAACGAATTTGCAAGACAGAAGCTCTCCCACCTAGACTATACGGACTCCCCAAAATCCACAGGGACTCTACCCCACTCAGGCCCATTGTAAGTGCCATCGGCTCCCCAACATATGAATTAGCCAAATACCTAGCAACCCTTCTACAGACCCACATTGGACAAACCTCATCCTACATCAAAGACTCAGGGCATTTCATAAGCAAGATCAGCACCCTAAAACTCAACCCTGGGGATAGACTGGTCAGTTTTGATGTAGTATCCCTGTTCACTAAGGTACCGGTAAAGGACACCCTGATACTCATCCAGCAGATATTTCCAGAAGACATCAAGGCCCTCTTCCAACACTGCCTTACAACCAGCTATTTCCAGTGGGATAATGAATTCTACAAACAGATTATTGCCCTAGCCCATTCAAATGTTACAGGCCTGGAAATGTTAAGGGAAACCTTGACGTCTGACCATTCAGCCTGGAGGCAGGCGGTGCATCACGGCCTCTCCCAATTTGAAGAGACGCTTGTACAGCAGGCCGAGGCAAAGAGGCAGTCCCGAAACAAGCAAAACCAGGGAGATGGACAGGGGACAGATTGTATTTGTGGAAGAGATTGTCACTCTCGAATTGGCCTTCTCAGCCACACAAGACACTGTTCCAAGACCTCCATACAGAGCATGTTACCATAGTCTCTCGAGACTGAAGGATGCCTACTACTGGCTGCTTTGATTAGTCAGGCCAGGTAAGGGTCAAGGGAGGAAGTTGTGGCATGACAGCGGTCAAGCACCTCTGTCCACCTCTACTGACATCACAGGCTAAAAGTGGTTGAGTCTCATCGGGCAAGACAGAGCGCGGGACGTCTCTGCTCGATTCACTGTTTTCAAATAGGCATAACATGTTTTGGTGTGTGAGCAGTGTCCTCCTGGACATTCACATAAATGCTTTCAGTTTCTTTTGCACTCTCTGAAGTATGAACATAGACTTGAATTGCAATTATGTTGATGGGTTTTCCAGGAGATCTAAGCATTTTGCTTTGAGACTTGTGGTGCAGTGGTTTGATTGCTGTCCTGCAGCCAAAACTCTGCCCATGACCTGGATTCCATCCCAGGCAGCCAGCTTGAGGTTGACTCAGCTTTCCATCCTTCTGAGGTTGGTGAATCGAGGACCCAGCTCCCAGGGGTTGGGGGTGGCAGCAATGTGTAGCCTGCATAATTAAAATGCAAATCACCCAGAATGCTTTAAGCACTACGGGACAGTATGGTAACCCTGCCTCCTGATTCTTTTTTTAAAATATTTTTTTATCCTGCCTTTCTCGTTAATAAGGACCTTTACATGATTAAAAGGCAGTGCTTAAAGCCCAAAAGGATAAGCATACAAATACTCAAAAGGCTGAAACAAAAAGACAGTACACAGAGGCAACACCAAAACACATTCAATACAGGAAAGTGCAACAATCCATTCAAAAACCCCACTCAGGCAGCCGGTCACTCTAGGGAAGCTTGCCTGAAGAGAGAGGTCTTGGCCTCCTTGGACAGCCAAGATGCGGTCAGCCTGGCCTCCAGTGGGAGGGAGTTCCAGTGTCTGAGAGCAGCCACAGGGAAGGCCCCTGTTCTTTGTGTCCCCACTGAACACATTTGTTAGGATGTTGGGACCGAGAGAAAGGCCCGATGATTGTAACATCTGAGCAGGTTGATAATGGGAGATGTGCTCTTCGAAATATCTCAGCCCCAACCATTTAGGGCTTCATAGGTTAGAACCATCATTTTGAATTGTGCGCAGAAACAGATCGGCACTCAGCATGAGCTGTTGTAAGAGAGGTTGTGTGGACCCCTTGCCCTCCCGGGGGCCTTTGGCTGGTATTCTGCTGCCTCTTCTGCCGGCATGGAGGTAGGTAGGCAGATGAGCGGAAGGGGGGGGGCTTGCAGAGCTCTGAGGGACAAGCAGGGACTGACAGCTTCTTTGCTCTGCTCTGGGTCAGCTGCGGCGGAAGAGAGCCGTTCCTCTCCTGGAGCCTCCACCAACCCCTCACCCAGGACTGAGGTTGCCTTGCACGCCGAAGCCACCCATTCACAACCAGCACGTCGGGCCTGATCCAGCTGCTGCTGCCACCGCCCCTTTCTCTCTGGCACAAAGAGATCAGAGCGGCATCGCCCGTGCTCCTCTGAGGGGCTGCCTGACTCTGGACATCTCTTCCCCCCCACCACCACAAATCTTTCTCCCTCAAACACGAGAATGAGCCTGTAGCCCAAGAGGGAGCTTCTCCCCTTTAGGAGAAAGGGGCCTGATCCTCTGTTTCTCCTCCTCCTGCACCTGAAGAGGCCACAGGCAGACATGGTGTTTTTAGATCTGAGAGGCTGTATAAGGATGGTAAACCCATTTCAACCTGGCTCCAGTCCTGATTATGGGATGGCAGCTGCTTTGGTCACCTTGGTGGACGACCTACACCAGGAACTGGGCAGGGGGGTGGGAGTGCTTCCCTGTGGCTGGCTTCTGCTGGACAGACATCTCAACGGCTTTTGACACCATCAGCCACGGTCTCCTTCTAGGGTGGGATCTTGGGGGCATTCTGTTACAGTGGCTCCGGTCCTTCCTGGAGGGGAGAACTCAAAAGGTGGCGCTGGGGAAATCCTGTCCAGCATCCTGGCTGTTGGCCCGCAAGGTCCCTCAGGGTTCTGTTTTGTCTTTTTTGTTTTTTAACATCTACATGAAACTCCAGAGTTTTGGAATTCAGTGCCACCAGTATGCAGATGACACCGAACTCTACCTCTCCTTGCAATCTAAATCCAAGGAAGTTCTTTTGGTGCCAGATCACTGGCTGATAGTATCAGTAATGGGCTGAATGAGGGTGAATAAACTGAAATTTAATCCAGCCAAGACAGAGGTGCTCCTGGTCATTTGAAAGGCAGACAAAAGAAACAGAATTCAGCCTGTGCTGGATGGGGTTACACTCTCTCTGAAAACACAGGTGCACAGCTTGGGGTGGGGGTGCTGGATGGGGTTACACTCTCTCTGAAAACACAGGTGCACAGCTTGGGGTGGGGGTGCTGGATGGGGTTACACTCTCTCTGAAAACACAGGTGCACAGCTTGGGGTGGGGGCTCCTGGATTGATCCCTGGATTCCAGAGGTTTTGGCAATTGGCCAGGAGTGCCTTTGTACAATTAAAGCGAGTGCGCCAGTTGCGCCCGTGCCTGGAGACGTCTGATCTGACCACAATGACACATGCCCTGGTTACATCCCAGCTGGATTACTGTAACACACTCTATGTGGGGCTGCCTTTGGAGTGTTCAGAAACTTCAGCGGGTCCAAAATACAGCATCCGGATTGCTGACTGGGGCTGGCTACAGGAATGACACAACAACTCCCAGGCAGCAAAGGGGGGCACAGCTGCCAAAAGGGTGCAAGGGTTGAGACCCTGTGCAGAAAGGCCAAGAGGGAAGAGGAGGCCGCTCCATGAAAGGTAGCGTGAGGGCTTCCCAGCAATGGACTTAAATTTTGAGCCAGGCGGTGGCACCTCCTCACTGGGAGGTACTTCTCAGTCCCAAGAGCTCTTCCAAGAGTGGAAGGGGCTGCCAGTGGCATAGCCGGGGGGCTGCAGGGGCAGTCAGCCAGGGCACACAACATTCGTAGGGGCACATGGGACTGCTGTGCCTAGAGCACTCTTGCAGCCACCCCTCTTTACCTTCCTGGCCGTCCAAGTCTGGTATCAGGCAGCCGCTGCCACCAGTGTGGACCTCGAGCAGCGCCACGACCATTTCATGGCACCCTCCCGGGGGCTTCTCCCTCCCTGCCCACTGCCCCACCCACGCATTGTTATCGCAGAGCTGGCACCTGCCCCGCAATACTTGCCTTGCCCTGGTTGAGGGCAACCCACACCACAGCACTGCTCTCTGCACCTGAGGAAGTAGATTTTGATATGCCTAAAGTCACAAAAGCTTTGGGCAACGAAAAGGCAAGGCGAGGCCTGGGCTCAGTGAGGGCATGTCTTGGGACAAGATCACCACAGAAAGATCGCAAGTGAAGAAGCCCCAGTACCAACCCCTGGCTGGCCAAACCGGTGACCTTTAAGGGTGGCCTGCTTAAGCAGACAGGTGGCTGCGGGTGTGTGTGTGTGTACATTTGTGTGTCAGCAGACTGCAGAAGCAACTTAAGGTCCTTGATTGTCTGAATCCTACCCCAATGATGCTTTCTGGTATGTTCCACCTCTCCCCCTCCTCCAAAAACTCAAGTCTTGCAATGGGCAAACTCACAAGCACCTCCGTCTCCCCTTTGTGGGTCAATCCTTCAGTGAAACTTCCAGGTTGTTACAGCTCCACAAGAGGTGCCCCAAATGGCGACCTTCTTGAGGTTCCTGAGACTGCACAGGTGCGGCCTTCCTCTCTCCCCATCTGAGGAACCCCGTGTACCTGGAGCTCCTCCCAGACACACAGAAACTCATGTCTGGGGGCATCTTCTTTAACCCTTCTTTATTGGTACAAAAGCATTACAGGTGTGTCTCCATCCATGCAGGAAAGACACCAGTTGGGAAGCAGCCACCCTCCCCTGGCCCTGGGCAAGGACACCTCCCAGCACCTGCCCATTCAGCTTCCCTGAAAGCAGGACTCAGCTGGCACACTTTGGGCAGACTCCCAGCAGTCTCACTGTGCCCCATGTCACCACCTGGCATCAGCCCCTCCCGCCCCCTCCCCATCCCGCCCCCAGTTCCTGGTGAGATCCTGGGCCTTGCAGAGTGACAGATGGACAGAAAGCGAAGGAGGCGGCTGTCACCAGCTTTTGCTTTAGGGTTACATGGTTCAGGAAGGCTGTTCGGGCCCCTCCTGTTCAAGGAGAGGCACCCAGGAGCTTCCAGTGCAGTCTTGGCTGAAAATGGTTTAGGAGAGGGGTCAGCCTCCCCTTCAGGTCCCTCAATCCTGGTCCATTCCATGAGTGGAGAAATGCTCCCAAAGGCACAGCACCATCCTGCCCCCTCCGACCAGCCACTTGCTCCGAAAAACAGGCTGTGATGAAAGGGCAGTGGGACGCGGCTCAGGATCCAGGCTGGGTTGTGGTCCCACTCCGTAGACCTGGGGCAGGAAAGTGAAAGGGAAGAGTGAGAAAGAAAGCCACCAAAGGGCAGCAGTGGGTGGGAGGTACGTACGCCCACTCCTGCAGCACAAACAGTCCTGCTGTCTTCCCCCACAGGGTGCAGAGACCGATAGTCAGTGATGCACCAGCTGCTAAGGAAGGGGGGGGGAGGCAGGATGAAGCAGAGGCAGATGGAAACCACGAGGGTCTGATCGCTGATGCTACTCACAGAGGAGGAAGTGGCGCAGGTTCTGCTTTGAGCCGCCAGAGAGGAGATAGGCCCAGACGGCAGAGGCTGCCATAAGCAGGTAAGCTGGGAGGAGGCTGCCCAGGTACAGGGGGTTCCAGAACGTCTGGAAGAGAAGGAGCAGGAAGAAGTGAGCACATGAGAAGTTGCCCAGGGGTGCCTTTGTGTCCCTCTGCCCCTTAGGTAGAGACCTAAGGCTCTTACGATGTTGTTCAAGCGTCTAGCTTTGTGACCTGACCTAGGACCCCCCCCCAGAGCAGGCCAGTTTCCCTTGGCCGCCGGCTGCCCTCCACCAGCCCCGTCTCCTTTCTTTTTCTTTCTTTCTTTCTTTCTTTCTTTCTTTCTTTCTTTCTTTCTTTCTTTCTTTCTTTCTTTCTTTCTTTCTTTCTTTCTTTCTTTCTGTCTGTCTCTATACTGCCTGCCTGTGAGTGGTTGATGAGCTGATTCTCTCCTCTCCCCATTCTTCAGTTATGCCACCAAGTGCCCCAAAAGACTGCTCTCTTGCATGCAAGGGCCCGTCTTGGAGAAAAGAGGCTGCTATCCAAGCAGGGGAAGAAACACAAGATGTCTTTTCCCCTCTTACAAATCACATGGCAGGGGGCTGGACTGGATGGCCTCAGTGGTCTCTTTGAACTCTATGACATTTGGTAGAATGAATGCAGATGATCCTGTTGCACCCCAGACATCATTCCCTGTCCTCTCTCACACAGCCTGCCCCACAATATCCCTCACAAAAACCAGGTTTTTGACCCTGATTCTATTTCACTTCTTCCCACTGCAGCCCAAAATCTTGACCCGAATCTTCTTGCTTGAGAGGTGTTGGCATGCGTGCTTGTGCATGTACAATATCACGTACCCATCACAGGAAGCAGGGGCACAGCTGCCCATGGTCCCGCCCACTACTCACAAGGCCAGAGATGATGAGGTGGGTGAGCACAACGGCTCCCACCTCCCACCAGCGCCGGGTCTCACAGCCATGGAAGAAGATGATTCCCCAGAAGGTATGCAGCAGGATCAGCACCAGGGTCATGAAGGCTGTGGGGAGACAGCCAGTTAAGAGAGCAGAGGGACTGGGGAGGCAGGCAACCCAACAGTCAGGGTGAAGGCAATGCCTCGGTGGCAGGTGGACATACCAGAAGTTAGGAAGTACAGCTGGGAGTCCCCATGGATGCCCACGGTGCCAGGGCCCAGAGCATCTGCCAGCAGGTTGATCATGGAGAAGGCCCCACTCATGAGCCCAAAACCAAGGCCAGCCACTGTTGGGAAAGAGAAAGGCGCATGCCCGTGAGCCCACAAAGCAGCTGCTGCTGCCGCCACCCCTCCTCTCCAACAGCACCTGGGAATGGGGAAATTCTTTGGGGTTCTTCCTTCAGGGCCCTCCTAGCTATCCTCGGGGGTGACCAGAATTGAACTGGGGGAAGTGCTTGGGTCTTCCCTCAGAGCTCTGAGTGAATCAACCAAAACAAGGCTGTCCAGGAGTTTACTGCATTTTAGCATCTTGTTATTGCATTTTTCTGTTCATACTTATTGCTCACTGCCCTTGTAACTTCAGACGAATGGCAATTTATAAACATCCACCAAGAAATCCAGGCCCATGGTTCCTCTAAAGCTGGAGCAGTCCAGGCGTCCTGATCCTGCTTCCACAGAGGCTCCTGGACATACTGTGGGCTGCTGGCTGAATCCCCCTCCTCCTCCACTACGGACTGCCTGCAGAGCCTGGTCCACCTGAAATACTCTGCCTAAAGCCCCAAGACTGCCCCTGCCCCATGCTTGCCCCAGCCGCCCAAGCCAGGCGATTCCCTGCTTTCTTCCCGCTCCAGAGACCAAGGAGATGATGCCACGTCTGAAATGGCCCCTGCATTTCTACCACAGGTGCTTTGGGGCAGACTTGTCCACAGCACGCCCAAGGGCCCAAGCCAAGGTCCACTCCCCCACCCACATCGCGGCCGCATCCCTGGGGAAACCTACCGTAGGCCATCTGCTGGATGGAGATGGGAGAGCAGCCTTCATCGCTCAGGGCCAAGAGCCCCTCAATGGCCTTCCTGGAAAAGGGAGAAAAACCCAACGTTTTACACCAGACCCTCTTCCACCCACCCATGGGCCGCAGGCAAGTCACAATCTTGTTATATTTTTTGGTAGCATTCTTTTCCCTCAGTGCCTGTTTTTTCAATTTCCTTTGTTTACAACACATGCAACAAAGGTGTGCCTTAAAGAGAAAACCACACCATTATTTTCTGGCTCAGCTCCAGACCAAAAAAACCTGCAGCTCTGCATGAAGGCCCATCACAGCAGTCCATGGGCTTCATCTATGAACTTGGTGGCCTTGTGCAACTTCTCTCAGGACCATGTACTTTCCCAGAAAACAGACAAGTTATTATTTTCAGATTATGGGGGCTTGCTGATGACCCAACGTGAAACAAGTGCAATTCATATGAACATCATGATACTTTTTGGGCCTGACACATTTGCATGCTAACATTTTAATCACATGGTTATGCTGACTGTACACAGTACTGTTCATAAGAAAGCAAAAAGAGCCACACAAGTTCAGACCAAAGGCTTACTGAGTGGAGGGGTTGTAGCTCAGCCACATGACTCAGGCTTTGCAAACAGGAGGTCCCAGATTCCGCCACGAACAGGACCGCCAAACCAGGCCAGAACAAGGGCCTGCCTGAAACCCAGGGGAGACGCGTCCCTGCCAGTCATGGTATGCAAAATTGTGCTAAAAGGACCAATGCTTTGGCTCCCGCCCTACGAGTCAAGATCCCTGGAAAGCTGAAAATTCTGCTGTTAGCAGTTATAAACATATGATGGGGAAACTGACAAGCAGGCTCATTAGTACCACCCTGCTCAACACTGCGAAGCACACTGCTGCCCCTGGCACTGGGAGGAAAACACAGCTGTCATGATTAGTAGCTATGGACAGCAACATCCTCCATGAATGTGTGGAATCACTTTTAAAACCCTCTAAGTTGGGGGGGGGGGAATGCTACACACTCCCACATAATGAATCCCAGTTTTAATGCAATTCTGTGCAAAAAAGAACTTGCCCTGGGTTCCCTCCCCCACGGATCCCCCACTACTGATCTTTGGTAGCTGCTCTCACTGCTCTCCTATATTAAGAGACAGGGAGAAAAACTTCTCCGTGGCCATTTTCTTCCCATGGCTGATTCTGGACACCTCTACTGAGCCCACCTCCCATGCCTTTTCCGCCCTAAGTGACACAGCCCAAACTGTTGCTTTAATATCTTGATCCTTTCTTGGCATTTTCTCTGGCTTCACCGTCTCCTTTTTAGAAATTCAAGAACTGAAGCTGTATGGTCAAACTGTGACGGCACCACAGATTGGAATGAAAGCATTTGAAAAACAGGCCGTTCCATTTTCAAGCCACTTCCCAATGATCTCCAACACAGAACTCTGCTTGTTCACAGCTGCCCAACCCTGGGTTGATGGCTTCTTCCTGGCCTCATCCAGCCCATCTTTTAGATGCTGTTAAGAGACTATGCCCAGACACTACACAGAGTTTCTCCCAGGGCAGAAAGCAGAGGCCAATCTCGGGGGAGTGTCAGCGACTTCTTACAGCCCAGCCTGCATGGACCAGGTTGCACGATGCCACCCTTCCCCCTCCCCCTTGCTCTCTGTCCCAACCCAGCTTAGAAGGAGACCATCTAGTAGCCCCTTGCCAGTGGTGGGCCCTCTTGGCTTCTCAGGACCAGGGAAGTCAGTCGTCCGGCCAGCCCAGGGCTGCCAGACGACTGGAAGAGGCCCCTTGGCTTCTTTTACCTCCCCCTTTCATTGTCAGGGGGCAACCCCTGAAGTAGATGCTTGTGGCCCTCCTGGCTGTGCTCTGGACACACTTTTTCAAGAGCCCGTGACGTGGCACCCTCACCACACCCCCGAGGGCCCCAAACCTCACTATGGGCGAGACTGTTTTCCATCACAGAGGCTCAAGGGCCTTGTGTCTGCAAGGATTTTACTGCCTGCATTTGGATGATGGGGATCCCCAGGTATTATTCCGTGTTCTGACAGAGGATCCGCCCAAGAGCCTCCCAGAGCTGGAAAGGACTGCTCTGAAGCCTAGTCACGCCTGGTGTGAATGTGGTGCTTTGCCGGGAAGGCACACCGTTTGGGTGGCCATGCAGCCCTTCCACTGCCTCAGTTCCTGCCGGAAAACCCCCGGCTGATATCAGGGCACTCCACATCCTTTCTCCCAGAGCAAAAGATTTTTTTGGGGGGGGGGGAGGCAGAGGGGAAGGAAAAGCTGCTTTTGCTAAAGGCTTTCCAGCCCGCCTTGTACACAAACCAAGCACAACTACAATTTCTGAGGCAGGTTACACAAGACCCTCCGACGGTGAGGTGTGACAAACAGGTGTATGTGTGTGTGTGTGGGAGGCTTCCTCTGCAAACCTTACCTGGGGGGTGCATCATCAGACAAAGAAGGCGAAATGTGTATGTGTGTGTGTGTGCTGCGTTGGTCATTTCGTTACCTAACCGGATGCCCTCCTTGCCCGCCCACCGGGCTCGGGGTGTGTGTGTGTGTGTGTGTGTGAAGCAAAACAAATGCCAAAAGCAGCCGTACGGCTGTGGAGTTGAACAGCTGCCCAAGCAAAGGAGAGCGGGGGGGTCAGCTCAAAAGCCCCGGAGCCACACACGTCCACGCTTCTGTCCACAGAAAGCCCGCGGGCTCCCTTGGCAGCCGGCTCCACCCTGGGTGAGGCATCGGGGCCTCCGGTGTGAAGGGGGCACCTTTACAACCCTGCTGGGGTGGCAGGGAGCACTCAATAGGGCCATGGGGACCCTAACCTGTTGTAGAAAGAGAGAAGCCCCCTCTCTCCATGACCCCTTAATGGGAGCCTTCTGGTCTCTGGGCAAGACCCTAGAGTGCTGGAGGGCTTCCCGTCCCCGGTGGGTCTTCTTCGGTGGGCAAGGGGCTGCTGAGCTGTGATTAGCCCCTTTTAGGAGGAAATAGTGGCGGTGGCGATGTATGCGGCTCCCCAGCACCACCCTTTCCAGCATCTCTTTCCTCATAGAACTACCTGGAAGAGGTAG